CCGCTCGCTCTGCGCGCGTGTGCGCCACTGATAGTGAAGGATGGAACGCTGCGGGGTGCGGGGAACGTCGACAATGCGAACGCGGCGGCTGCGTGCGCCCCTCCCCGCGCGCTGCGCAGAGCACATGGCTGCGGACCGCCCCGCATCGCCAATTGGCTTCTTTCAAACCTGCGGTGTGGAGGCACTTTCTGCGGCTGGGACTGGATGGCTTACTGTTGCCGAAAGGCAATACCAGGCCCCTTTCGCCACGTGCGTTTTAATGAACTTTCCGATGATAACCGCTATGTTCGGGCACACAGGCAACTGTAGGATTATTACCCGCGGACGGGGTGGGGGCGGTGGCGGGACTGAGTAGTCCCTGAGAGAGAGAGACCACAGACAGGATATTAATGGACATAATGCAGTGGTTGTCAGGAAACGAGAGTGCAGCCACTTGGCTACTGCCAGTTATGCAGCGAGGATATCCGGTGGCAGCAAAGTCTGTAGTTTAGAATAAAAAGAACTCTCCCAAGACCGGGAGGCTGACCTCAGCGCCGCGTGGCGGTGGTGCACTCGGCACCCCGGGTGGAGATGGTCCAGGATCTGACAGGTGGGGAAGCCTCATCCTAGGGGATTTACAACGTCAAAGAATGTGCAAATACTCCCCTTCGGAATCATATTGCAAAAATTAGCCAGCTTTTTCTTTGATATATTTCTGGTCGAGGACTTGATCAGTAGCTTGTTGCTAGCAACATGATAATATAAGTAATACTTGGATATGTCTTTTGTAGCACCTTTTCTAGCTGTTATGATACCACACCTTAACTAACAATGTCATAAGGAAAGGTTTATTAGCAATTGATTTGCATAACTTGGAAATATTGGGAATCTTAGTTAATTTTTCGTTAATTTATTGCTTCCAGAGTAGCTTGCAGAAATTCAGAAAATACGAGCAATCTGGTATAAAAACGGGAAATGACCAGGACACACCTGTCTGCTTATATTGATCCTCTGTTCGCTTCTGGTGCCTTACAGTCTAGACAATGGGAAGGCAGTGGTAACATAGCAAGACAGATGCTGGAGATAAACTAAATGAATTATGAATCCACTGTTCCTAAGGTACGCGGAATGCAGTGTCACATAACATCTGGAAATAACTCTAAACAAGCTTAGATACCCTAATTGTTTGGACAGAACTTCACATTTAAGAAGATTAGCATAAATATAAGTCATTGATGTGGAGGGGGGAAAAAAGTCATTTGGCCATTTCTAGTATTCTCTCTGATCTTAATTTTTTTCCTCCCGTTTTTCTGTATTTCCTGCCACATCTTCCTTTCCTCAGCAAAGATTTCCAGACCCATCCCAATGTTTTGTTTTCTTTAGTTCTCTTCGTTTCACCTCTCCAAGTTTGTTTTTGCCTGTTGAGCTCTAAGGGTCGCCCCACTGTGTTAAAGGAGCCTCTAAATGAAAAAAATACTTGCACAATCCACCTAAGCAGTAACTTCACCTTCGAAGTTTGTTTTTAAATGAAGGTTAATCTCAGTGGCCTATTTATTTGCAGTATGAATTTTCAAGTCATGAGTATACTACTTAAAAGAAAAGCAAGCCAGCAGGTTTTATTAGACAGGTTTAATAAAAAGGCATGATGCAAAGATTTTTTATTTTGTTTTGTTTTTTACTAATAATGTTTTTCCCACATTAACCAGTATCACAGCATCAATGGAAATGACATAATAAATAGAGAAACATTATTGTGTACTGTATATAAATGCAGCTCTGTTGTATTCTCTTACTGAAGCTGTTTAAGGCTAGGTTGACTTTTCAAGATGTAGTGTTACGGACTTTACAAAGTGGTTAATGCTGTTTGACTATTGCTCAAAAAGCCAGAAACATGTATCTGCAGTGCCATGGCGTTGGAGAGGGATACAGAATTACACAGCTGTCTTCTTAGATAAATCTGACCTTCTTAGCCTTCTCTGGAGGTATTTTTCATGCTGACTCATGAACAACAGGAAAGTTATGGCCCGTTAAACAGCATCCATGTTTTGCAGTAAACCTGTTCAAAGAAGACTTCTGTGTCTTTTGTGCTATATTTCTATTGTATGCCTATACATAATAGATATTGTGTCACAGACTATTAGAACTTGGAAAAACTTTGGAAATCATTTAATTGCAAAACTACCTCATTTTACAGATGAAGAAACTACAACCTGAGGATGAGAAATAGCCATTTATAGAGCTTCTTTTAATGGCAGTTAAGGAAAAGTATATATGAAATAATGTTAACTGAAAATAATGTAGACATGAGTTAAGTCAATATGAGAACAGTACACACTATTGCATACAAGAGGCACTAAGGAAGTATCTTACTACAGTCTATCAGTTTTAAGTTATAGATCCATATCAGCTAAAATAGTATGAAAAGACACCTGAAAATTGGCTAAATCTACACTTACTTTAAAACATGCAACATGTACACCATGCATTTTTTTTTAAAACCTTACCTTTGTTATTTTGGGAGCTCTGATGGCATAGTGCCTAAGGCATTTGACTGCTAACCAGAAGGCTGGCAGTTCAAACACACCAGCCACTCCTTGGAAGGAAGATTGGGCAATCTACAGCCTCGGAAACCCAAGGAAGGGTTGCTACGAGTTGAATCTGACACAATGGCAGTGAGTTTGGTTTGGTTTGGTTTGTTATTTTGTTTTAATGAGTGCAGACGAAAACCAAGCAAGTCCATAAATGTGAGGTAAATCTGAAACATCCTAAATAAAATTAACAAATGTCAAATTGCTTATCTCCAATCCATATCCAGTACACCCACCTAGTAACAAGATTCTTGTGAAGGTTAAATAAAATAATGTATATTAACCACTTAGTATAGGTGTTCAATAAAGGTGATGATATCCTGTATTCACACTGTGGGCCTGCCAGACCTTTCAATGTTGTCATTAGGTGTCGTTGAGTGGGTCCCATCCCATACAACAGAACAAAACACTGGACAATAGAATGATGCACTGCCCGTTTCTGTGCCATCCTCATAGTCATTGCTATGCTTAAGCCATCATTGCAGCCCCTATGCCAATCCATCTAATAGAGGGTCTTCCCCTTTTTCACTGTCCTTCTACTTTACCAAGCATGATATGCTTCTCCAGGGAAGAGTCCTTCTGACAACATAACCAAAGTAAGAGAGACAAAGTCTGACCTCCTCTCGCTTCTAAGGAGAATTCCAGCTATACTTCCTCCAAGACAGATTTGTTCATTCTTCTGGCAGTCCATGATACATTCAGTATTCTTCGCCTACACCTCAGTTTAAACACATCAATTGTTCTGCAGTCTGCCTTGTTCATTGTCCAGCTTTCACATGCATTTGAGGCAGTTGAAAATAACCTTGGCGTGGGTCAGGTGCACCTTAGTTTTCAAAATAACAGCTTTGCTCTTTAACACTTTGGAAAGGTCTTTTGCAAAAGATTTGCCCGATGCAATGTATTCATCTTTGATTTCTGCTGCTTCCATAGATTTTGATTGTGGATCCAAGTAAAATGAAATCCATGACAACTTCAATCATTTCTTCATTTATCATTATATTGCTTATTGGTCCAGTTGTGAGGATTTTTGTTTCCTTTATGTTGAGATGTAATCCATACTGAAGGTTATAGTCTTTGGCCTTCATCAGTAAGTGTTAAAGTCGTCTTCACTTTCAGCAACCAAGGTTATGTAATCTACATACTGCAGTTTATCGATGAGTCTTTCTCCAGCCCTGATGCCATGTTCTTCTTTGTATAGTCCAGCTTCTCAGATTTTTTGCTCATCATGTAGATTAAATAAGGATGGTGAAAGGATACAACCCTGAAGCACACCCTTCCTGATTTAAAACCATGCAGTACCTCCTTGTTCTTTTCAAATGACTGTCTCTTGGTCTATGCACTGGTTCCTCATGAGCACAGTTAAGTGTTCTGGAATTCCCATTCTTCTCAATGTTATCCATAATTTGTTATGATCCACAGAGTTGAATGCCTTTGCATAGTCAAAAAACACAGGTAAATATCTTTCTGGTATTCTTTGCTTTCAGGAGGTCTGGTAGCGCAGTGCCTAAGGCATTTGACTGCTAACCAGAAGGCTGGTGGTTCAAACCCACCAGCCACTCCTTGGAAGGTTGGACAATCTACTTGCATAGTGATACCACCTCAGAAGCCCAAGGAGGGGTCTCTATGTGTTGGGTTCGACTCAACGGCAGTAAGTTTGGTTTGGTTTTTGCTTTCAGCCAAGATCCATCTGATACCAATAATGATGTCTCTCATTCCACATCCTCTTCTGAATCCAGCTTGAATTTCTGGCAGTTCCCTGTTGATATACTGCTATACCATTTTTTAATTATCTTCAGCAAAATTTCACTTGCATGTAATATTAATGGTATTGTTCAATAATTTCTGCAATTTGTTGATAATCTTTCTTTGGAGTGGGCACAGATAAGGATCTCTTCCAGTCATCAGCCAGGTAGCTGTCTTCCAAATTTCTTGGCATAAATGAGTGAACACTTCCAGCTCTTCATCTGTTTGTTGATGATTAATGAAAATGTGTTTTGGTTACCTCTCATGCTGCTCTAACAGACATATAACCACAAATGGGATGGCTTGAACAAACAGGAGTTTATTCTCTTACAGTTTAGGAGGCTCTATAGAAGTCTAAGTTCAAAGTGTCAGGCTCTAGGGGCTGAGTGAAAACCCCTTGACCTTGGGCTTCAGCTCTGCCTCTTCCTTCCAGCCCACAGAAGCTGGAGGCTTTCTTCACTCAGGCAGCTGCTGGCTGCTGAGGCTGACAAACCCAAGGCTGAGAAGTAAAAAGGCACAGTCCCAATATTACCAAACAATATGGCAGGCCATTGATTCAAGTCCATTAAGAGTCCCA